AAAGAAGAAAGCTGCGCAGAACTTTTTCTATTCACGTTAACCAACATGCTTTCGAGTTATTAATCGGTAAGCTAACAACATATAAACTATATTAACCTCGTATATCGTTTTTCATTTTTTAAACAATTTTTTTAAACAAAATTTTTTTTTTGCAAGTGTTCACCGGTTTTTAACATGAAATTTACGGAAGGGGGAAAAAAAGAAAAAAATTGGAATTTATAACACGAAAAGAAACGCCGCCATAGAAGATTGTGGAGGGAGGTTGGTTGGTTGTTGCAGTGTTAAAAAAAAAAAAAAAAATCATGCGTCCTGAAAAAAAAAATATTTATTATGTAAATTATCGTGGATGTAATTATGTAAATTAATATTCTACAGAAAGAGAAAGAAATTTTTTTTTTTTTCCGGTTCCACGTCAAAATTTGAATTTTTTGGTTTTGACGTTGCTGCAGTAGAATACGACTCCATCATAAAACGGTCTAGTCATCGAAATAATTATTTTTAAAAAGAAAAGAAAAGCTGAGGAAAACACAAACACGTAAGTAAATATCATTTATAATAATAATAATAAAAAAATGGATCGATTATGATAATAATAATAATAATATTTATTTAACGTAAATTAAATGATGATGAATAATTCAAAAAAAAAAAATTTCTATACATTCTATGACTTTTTGCACTGATTATTATTCTATTCGTTTTTTTTTTTTTTTTAGAGATGTCGAATTTCAAATGATGATATCAGTACCTGACGTCACGGACGTAGGAGAGAGAGAGAGGGGGAAAAAAAATGAAAAGAAAATGAAAGTGTTTGTTGTTTGTTTGTTTGTTTGATTTCCATCCGTCCATTGATTTTCTTACGAAAAAAGGGAAAGTGTGAAAAGGTTAGTTTCCATTTTTATTAATTACCTTTTTTTTTATTATCAACGTTAATATGCGGTACTGATAAAAGGTTCGATTAAAGGTTATCACGATATTTTTTTTAGGTTTTTAAAATTTAAAAGAAAATGAAATAAACGTTTGTTCGATGGAGAGAGACGAGGAGAGAGAGAGAGAAAGAGAGAGAGAGAAGAAAAAAAGGAAATGAAATCTTCCGTGTTGGAAAATTTGAAAAAAAAAAAAATTTACTGGAATGACCTGGAAGAATAATTTTTTTTTTTGGGGGAATTAAAAAAACGTAAGAAATTTTTTTAACCTAGTTTTTTTCACTACAGTAATAATAATAATAATAATAATAATGATAATGATAATAATAATGATAGAAACTAGGCGTTGGCTTGTGAATTTTAACAACGGTTAATTTCGATTTTTCGGTAAAGTTTTAATTTTTTTTTGTTTTACATTCAATTAAAATGAAATATTTAATCGTAAGAAAAATTATTTTGTAATCGAAAAAGAATCGGAAACGTCAATTTCTTATATTTCATCTTGGAATAATTTCGAAAAATGATTTTATATTTCAGTAACGGTGTAAGAAAACCTGAGGAGTGAAAAAAAATTTTTTTTGGACAGAGAAAGAGAAAAAAATGTCGTTTTTATATTGTTTTTTTAATATCGTATCGAAAACAGGTTTTCTTTTCTCGAAAAAACTAAAAAAAGAAAACGAATTTAAAAACCTGATATTTCGTATATATAAAAAAAAATGATAAAATGATAAAATTGTGATAATGACATTTTTTTTAGCCCTTAAAAATATTTTTTTAATTGACCATGTCGTGAAATTTTGTTTTAAACACCTGACCATAACTTAAAAAAAAAAAAATTTCAAACATTTTATCAATCGCGTTAAAAAGAAACCTTTGACCTTTGACCTTTGGATCAAAGTTGGGTTTCGACAAAAAATGAATAATAGTGTGTAGTGTTGATGTCGGTATTCGCGCGCGACTCACTCACTCACTCACGATTTTACTGAGACACAGTAAATCTGTAATGACCGGAAGAATCATTAATAAAATGTCAAATTTAAAAACAATTACACGCACGCACACGCACACACACGCACATTTTATTCTTACGTCGAGATTTTTTCGATTTAAAAGTTCATTCGCATTTATTTATTTATCGATATTAACTATTTCCGTTTATTAACCCTATTTTTCGTTTATTAATAATAATAATAATAATAATAATAAAAACAAATCCAGCTGAGCTTTTATTTAACTCTTGACCTAAGTTAGTGACGTCAGAAACATTTTTCCATTCGTCAAACATTTTTCAAAAAAAAATAAAAATTTTCATTCGTAACTATTATTATTTCAAAATGTCATTTTGTGCCAACGAAACGGATAAAAAAATTATAAAAAAATTAGTGATGTAATGCTGGTAGAACTGATCGATTGAAAATAAGCATAAACGATACATAAATAAATAAATAAGAGAAAAAAATTTTTTGTTTTGTTTTTTTTCGTTTTGACAAACGGTTATTTAAAATGACAAACGATAAACAAATTATGTTTTTGTTTTGTTTTGTTTTTTTTACGCGTTGTTGTTGTTGTTGTTGTTGTTGTCGTGTCGCAAATTGTTTGTATGTTTTTTTTTTTTTTTAAATGTAATTTATTTTTTAACGTTTGATTCATTCGATACAGAGAGAGAAAAAGAGAAAAAAAAAAGTAAAAAAAAAAAAAATTTAATTTTTAAATTAAAAAATAATAGATAAACCAAACAACGACAACGACAAACGACAACAAACGACGACAAACGGTCATTGTACATTTTTTTTTGTTTTTGTTTCAGACAACGTAAACGTTTTTTTTATTTTGCCTTGGAACGGAGGAGTTCATGGAAAAAGAAGAGGAAGAAAAAAATAAGAAAAAAATTTTTTATGTTTTCGCCACAAAAATAAATGAATGGGGATGTTATTTCAGTACATATACAGGTATAATATAATAATATTAAGGTCAAAGGTCAATATAATAATAATACGAATAATATCAATTCGTGTCAAAATGTTTTTTATGAAGTATGACGTATAAATATTACTGAGTATGTTTTAAACAAAAAAAATTAATTCTTATGCGTTAATATTATTCATTTCCGGTTTGTTTGTTTGTTTATTTCTTCTTCTTCTTATCAATAATATGATTTTTGATAAGAAAATAAAAAGTTTTGTGTATTAAAAAAAAAAAAAATCAGGGGCTACCATTTAAAAAGTAAAAAACAATTTTTCATATAAAATTTGTCAATGATAACAAACAAAAGTTAATTTTTTGATAGCGTACGGCCAATTATCTTGTACAAACAGTCAGTCAGTCAATCAGTCAGTCACTCACTCACTCACTCAGTCAATCAAAAAAATAAAAATAAAATTCAAACGACCATAATAAAATAAAATAAAAGAGAAAGAGAGAGAAAAAAAAATTTATTTTATTTTTTTTTTTTGTGTTTACGTCTGTTCACGATAATAATGATAATTTGGATGATGATGATAATGGTCTACTGTCGCTGGAGAAATTCCATGCGAATACGGTTATACGGCATGATAAAAATTATTATTGACCATTAAAAAAAAATAAATAAAAAAAAAAAAAGTAAAAGAAAGAAAAGGAAAAAAAAAATTCAAACAAAGTCTTGTTGTATATCATTTATCATAAAAAAAAAAATTTCAAAATATCCATTAATAAAAATTTTGAATAGTTTTTTTTTTTTTTTTTTTCTTTTTCGAGACGTAAATTTTCGGTTGTTGGCCATCATTCGAATAACAACAACAACAACAACAAACTGGAGAATTGCGGTTTTTGTCGTGTAATTTTAATAATTGCTATTGACCTAATGCGTAAAGTTAAATAAAAAAAAAAAGGAAGTTATAGTAATAATAATAATAATGATGATGATGATAAAATTAAATAAGGTATATATGTTGTTCGGTGCATACACGCGCACGCACATACGCACATACACACGAATTGTGATAAATG